GAGCGCGGTTTGTCCGAGACTGATAACGATAAAATTCATCAAATGAACCATCCGTTGCAACGCTTCCTTCAACTTTAGATTATGGTCATTGATCAGAATACAAAATTCTATATCTGAATAGGGAGTGGCTGTACCTTTTGCCCACGATCCCAATAGCACAACCGCAAATTTTTGCATGTTTATGTTATCGTCACGAAGGGCGTCAATTGCGAGTTGCGTAATATCATAAAGTAGTTTATGCAATGACATGTTAAGCTCTCGATATCCATCCTTAATTATGTTAACTTTTTCGGAATTATCCTTTGCTTCTTGGGCTTGAAAGATGATGCCCTTGGCTTGATTGCATTGAATGTCTCTAAGTGATTTGTGAAGCTCATCAACACGGACGAAAAAATCCGTTAAATCATTATTGGTTCGCAATACCCTTTTGAATAAAAAATCTTTTAATGTTAATATCTCATGAATCGTTATTAGATCTTTCTTTGCAATATTGTTAACGGCCTTAAAGATCTTATAAACGGACAAGCAACGATCAGCCATCTTTAAAGTAATCACATTCTCTTTATTAACAAGGTTCTGCCAAAGCTGTTGACCAATTTTCTTGAGTAATCTTGCAATTTCATTAGTATCATTTACAACTTTAGATTTGATTAACAAATCAATTTCAGGTACGAATTCTTCCATACTTTCTCGATTGTCTGAGAATCAAACGTTGAGAAATTTCTTTCTTTTTTTTTTTGAAAATTCGAGAGGAATTTTTAAATTTTATGTCAGAATTAAAGTTTTGTGCCAACTAGCACTAACTTCCCAATTAAGTAACCTTCTTTGAAACACAGGATGTTGTGCTAATGTGGAGCTACCGTGGGCAAGATGTGCTTTTGGCGACAAATAACTCTGATTTTGGAGATCGACATATTTTCTTTGAAAATTAGTTTACTATATAAAATTTTTATAAGCTGCTGAGTAACACGATTATATAAAGTACTTTGTACTCTTAAGAAAAAAATTTAATCGCAATGAAGTACATGGAACAATCAGGTCATACTCACTTAAATGATAAAAGGTTAAATAAAAATTTTCTTATACTGTATGATCATAAATCGACGCGATTTGATCAAGGCAAAAGTTTATATGTTTTAATCACAAATACAACTATCGCAATTGATGATTATACCCGTATAATAGCATCCAAAAAACTCATTCCGGGTGTATACAGCACCAGATCTGCTTTCTCTGAGCCCTTCTAAAATCATATTTCCTACATTACGCGTCTTAATTACTATCCTCGCATTGAATCAATTCCTTTTTTAATTTGATCAATCATATTGAATTTTTTAAATGATTTTCCCGCAGTTTAATAAATATATATTCTATAAATTTTTATGTTTGCGAAGCAAATAATTTGGAGTTTATGCTGAGAAAAGGGACCATCTATTGCACTTTATGCACTTGGAAAAAAAAATTTGATAAAAATTTTCAATTTTGTCCCTTTTTCCAGCATTCACCCATATTTCACCTTGAGAATTGAATAGAGTTTCTCTTAATATGAAAGTAAAGGAAATAATTTCTTCACGCTCGATCAAACGACTTCTCTTTTTAATAAATGCTGAAAATTTTGCAATCAAAATTACAAAACTTTGTGATATTGATCGATCTTGCCAGAACAGTTCCAAAATATTATATTTAAGGATTCCCAGCTTTTCATATTTTTTTTTTCCATTGTTATTTTTTTAACATAAGACAAAATGCACGATTACTTGTTAATGGTAATAATTATATTGATTATTATAATCTTGTCTTCAATATAATATTCCGAAATTGCTATTCAAAAAATACCTCGAATCGTTTAAATGTATAACCGGTCAGATTATTCACGGTTAACCATTCATTTTATTCCATAGATGAAAGATGACATGAATTCGTTGAAATTAAAATAACGTTGGCTGAATATCCGCGTTTACACGGTTTTCTAATTCATTTTCTTTCTTTCTTTTTTTTCTTTTTTTTACTTTTTTTTTTTTCGTTTTATCTGATTATACATGTATAAAGGAAAAGGTAATATGCATTTTTTTGTCAATGAATTCGATAAAGCAATAATAATTCATGTTTACATCTACATACCAAAGGTCGTCAATCGTCAACGTGTTTGCGCATAGTACGTAGTACAAAGTATAGAAATTTATGAATCCCCGGGATAGAAATCACATAAGGAAGTGATTACACGTTTTCTTACGGTAACCGATCAGATAAAGTAAGGTCGTTGGTTCCGATGCCTGGTTCCGATGTTGTCTCCGATGCTCCATTCCGGAGGCAACAATTGAAGTATTAATTTGCGATCGTATTAGGGACTTGTAGAAATTTAGGAAGTTGGAGAGAAATAAACCATCTCGACTTCATCATTTATCATTGTTTCAAGAAATCAATGCAACTATAATCTAATAAATTTCTACCTCGTTACAAACATTATCCTTGTTGATGGATACGGATTCTTATCTCTACAACAATTAATTAATTGTTACACCTGATTCTTCGTCATCTATCAAAGTAATTATTGTCGACCAGGAATTCAAATAAAAGTCCATTGTTCGAAAAAATTTCACTCCACAATATGAATATCATTAATTTTTAACAGTATAGGTATTACTTTTTATTTATTCATACGCTTAATGAGTAAGTAATTTGAAGATGAATTATTCCGCTTAGTTCCATTTAACGCATTTTGCTATAAAAAAAAAAATAAGGAAAGTCGGAAAACTAATAACCCCATAAAAAAAATAATTAAATTATTGATGCACACAAAACATTTAGTGGCATCTTCGATATTTATTAATTTTCTATAAAGAGCTTACATAAATCATATTAACACAACCTCATAGAGTATTAATTAAAATGTGTGCGCAGATCAAAGTAAAGATACAGCATAAACCATGATCACATCACATTATCTTGAATGTTAATTAAATTAAACTTCATCTTCCTCGGCTAAATATTGAATTAAATTTAATTTATTTACATCTTTACAAAATAAATAAGATATTAATTAACTCTTACATGTATTTGTCATGTCTTCTAAAAAATTTGGGATCACGAGTTCAAGCTGTTTGGTTTCTGGTCAAACATGAAAGTAAACCGTATTAGAACCAATTTCTCATAATTTTTTTATCAATTTTTTTTTAATTTATTTATTTTTTTTTATTGCATTGAAAATTACCTGCCATACTAGTATTAACGTTAACGGGATTAGGAAGACTTCCAAAACTCAAAAGTCGACTTGTATAAATAGCCTCAGGATGCGTGACATAACTAATTCCAGAAAATTTGCCTGGATCATAATTTGGATCATAACTGGGGCATGATTCGACTTGCTTATAAATTATTGATTCCTTGTTTTCATAAACCACGTCCTTGTAATATTGATCCAAAGTATTTTTCAATTGTTCGGAGGAAGGTCGTTTGGTGGGATCTGCGTCCAAGCATTGATCGATCAAATTCGAAAGCAGCTGAGGAATTCGACGTACAATTGTAGGACGATGGCCTTCACAAATTCTTATCGCGAGGTTTCCGTCATGCGGAAAATCATAAAAAGGTGGAAACCCTGTAATTACTTCCATCATGATAATTCCAAAGGAATAAACATCGGACGCCTGAGTATAATTCTTTCCTTTTAACACTTCTGGTGCAACATATGGGAGCACGCCAAAAACATTATTTTTTTGGGATGAATCCTGTGATAATGGTTTACATAAACCAAAATCCGTTATGGATGAACCTGTATCACTCATTACAATATTGCCAGAATGGAAATCCTTATGAACCAGTCCAGCTTTGTGAATTTCGGAAAGACCATCCGATATATATAACAAATTTTTTAACTTTCCTTCCCAACCTAACTCTTTGAAATGTTGATCCAACATTTTTCTGAGGCTTCCTTTCCTCGCGTATTCCAGGACTAACATATAATCTTTAAGTTTTGGATCTTTTGTGATACCGTAAATTGAAACCGTGTTGTTATTTTTTCTGAATTTCAGTTGGTTTTCAATCTATAAAAATTATAAACGACATAAAAAATCATGACGCTCGAAAAATAAATTTATGAATCACGTTACCTCTTGAAAAAATTCTCGCGTCACGTACGCGGAATTGTCGATACTTTTTAAACAAACCAAGTCTAAATCGTTTCCTGGCCATCTACTAACATCTTCTCTAATCCATTTTTGATCAAGACGATCCCACCACTTAATAAATCCGTCAGACCAAGTAGCCTTAAATACTTTACCAAAACCTCCTTTGGTAAGATATTCCACATTTGTAAATTTTTCGAAAGGTATCCATTCGATAAGTTCATCCTTATCTTTTGCTTTAAGTTGGGTTTCCTGAATAAACCCGTCAATGACTTCATTATCACTGCTCCAATTGACAAAGTCATTTTTAAGTCTTTTTGCATTACATTGATTACACCATTTATATCCAGTATTCGGACGTTGGCAATCATCACACATTCCAAAATTATTGATAGATCCTACCTGAGTTTCAGTCATCTTTACAACAAAATGAAATTCGCATTAAACTTAACATTGTCAAGAATAGTTTCGAGCCAAATAAAAAATTTTAGATGATAAAAGTCCTTACCTTAAAATATTACAGTTTATGGTTACCAAAGGATATTGGAACAGAAACTTTACCAATAAAATTGTATAAGTTATGAAATGTGAAAGCCAATGTAAAGTACATAAGAAAATAACAATAGCAATTTATGTGTGTGACCCTTGTAACGGTAATTGTGACTGTCAAGGGCAAATGATACGATCTTCATACTGTCAAAAATCCGAACTGAGAGGAAAAAAAAAATTAACAATCATCTAATTTCCGCAACATAGATTACCCTTGGTTTTTTTCAAATCGCTGTGCAACCGACGTGTAGTACAGATTAACCCAATTTATAGACTCTTACGCAATTTTTAAAAATAAAATAAGATTCGGCTAAAACAATTTCGGAAATAATGGTTACAATATTAAAAGAATTGACATTATCCGGATGTGCGTTCATACCAACCGATTCTGACATGAAAAGTGACTTTTACATTTCAAGTGGTTAGTTCACAACATGCTCGTGAAATAGGTGGGTTTTTTTCGTTCTTATTCTACTTTTAAAATAATAGATAACCCGTGTACGATTTTTTTGGAGCAACGTATGTATTAATAAATTGTACCCTTCGTATCACTTAATTATACCATAATCAGGGCACACAGGCAGAACCGAGTAACTGATGCAAGATTTTTATTTTTATGCGTCTGCCTGTTACCATTGTTTCAGCTCTATTGTTATTAATGACTGAAATGTCTGAAGCAAACAGCTTTGTCCTAACCATTCGATCGGGCGGTGAAACGGGAGTTGATAGAGCAGCTTTGGATGCCGTCTTAAATTACAATGCTACAAAAAACTTACCTAACCTCGACAATAATGCGAAAAAATCCTCGTCTTCTCTGTCTGTTCAAGTCACCGGTTGGTGTCCAAAGGGACGACTTGCAGACGAGGGTGAAATTCCATCAAAATACCCACTCAATGAAACACCAAACAAAGAATTTTCTCAAAAAATTGAATGGAACGTCCGGGATGCGGATGCCACTTTGGTTTTGTCATCGTCTACCACCTTACAACCTGATACGGGAACGAACTTAACCCTCAAAGCGACTAAAAAAATGAATAAACCGTGTCTACCTATTTTTCTTGATGGTGATACAGAGACCAACGCCGGTGAGGTTCTTCGCTGGATGAATGACAACAATGTTAAGGATTTGAATGTAGCTGGACCGTGTGAAAGTTATTGTCCTGGAATTCATGCTAACGCGCGTCACTTTGTGACTTCCTTGTTAGAGATGTTTGAGAGAAATAATGAAGCTGGGTTGTTGTTAAGTTAAAAAGAAATCGTAGTTATGCGTATATAGCTACAGCTTGTAATTCACTTATATTTTTAATAAAAGTCGTCTGAGGAAGAATTTTTATGATTATTAATTATATCAGGTTGATTCATATAATTAATTTCAATGTGAATTAGCACTTTTTTAAATTCAAAAAAAAAAAGGTTAGATTCCATAATAATTTTTCATATTGAACAATGAAGTCAGGTAGTAGTATATACAGAAGTCTCAATTCCTTGAAGGTAACAGAAAAGGCTAGGAAGTTGTAAAGACAAAAAACTTACCTAACTTCGACAATAATTTTCCTGTTCATGTTGGTCCAAAGGATGGCGATATCCACTCTAAAACACCCACCTAATAATATTTTGAAAGAACTGGATGGACATTCGAGGAATGTAGATGATCACTTTGGTTTTGTTTTCGTCTGCCGCAACATCACTTGTTTTTGGAATGGTATTTATTATCAAAAATGCTAACAACCATTGACAATTATCTTTCTTGATGACGGTATCATAACCAACATCAGTCAGACTCTTCACTGGATGAGAAACTAATCAAGACTTTGGATGTGACTGTTTCAAGTGGAAGTAAATTGTTTTGGATCTATGCTAAAGCGTATGACTTCGTGACTTCCTTGTCCGAGATGTGTGAGAAATTATTGGAGAATAATGTAGCTGGGTTTTGTTAAGATAAAAAAAAACGCGTTATACATATATAGCTACAGCATGTACTTCACTTATATTTTTAATAAAGAAGTCAATGGTGAAAATTTTATTATAATTAATTTCAATGTGAATTAATACTTTCTATTTTTCTTTTCAAACTAAAAGATAACAAATTTTTCATAATTGAAACAAAATGTAGTTTGTACGTACCTAAAGAAGTCTCGAATCTTGAACATCACTCACTAAAGGTGACCAGGAAACCTATGATCTTTAACCATAATAACAAATTTTTTTTATTATATTTTAATTTTTTTTTTTTTGTGTTGATTAAATAAACAAAACTAGATTATATTCTCAACATTGTTTATCTTTTTTTAATCTAGATCTCTATTCATCCCATCCAGATATCCGCGGATGAAAAATATTGATCCAATAAAAAAAGTCCATCAATTTCTTTGTAAACAAACCCATTATTTTTTCAGAGATTTACCCGAGACGATCCAGATTCAGATTTTAAAAGTTGGGAAATTATCGAGTTGCAAAGTTTTCTTTAATATGGGAGAGTTATAGGAGAATTGTTTTGTTAATAGATCAAAATAGTTTATTCTATGCTTTAACCATTTATTTTCCTTTCTAATTTAGATAATACTCCAAAATATCGTCGTTGACCATATCACATTGAAGAAAGGCCAATTGAAAGTTAATTGAACAGCAATTTCAATTGACATATTCAAATAACTGAATTTATAATGTTGAAATTGACATTCATCTTTATGATTTCCATATAGTAAAGTAAATTTTTTATAATTTATTAGTCTGCTCCAGTTGTAGGAGAAGGTATGATAATTGAAAGACAACTATTCTGAGCAAATAGTCGCTATAATTTGCTCTCGAAAGTATTTAAGTTGCTATAGCAACTTTTAATTATAATACTTATATTTGTATTTATATATATTTATCTTTGCTAAAGATACCTCGTTCTAAGATCAACTGAAATCTCGTAGATTCAAGATTAAAAAAAAGGTAAGAGATTGAAAGTATGAAATTACGTGATCTTAGATCTTAAAAATTCATAAATTAACTAAATTGTTTGATTTGATTAACCTACAGCGTCAGTCCAATCGATAGACACATACCTTTATGAAAAAATTAATGAGGTACCTACAGAGCCATGACGAGAACGTGCATAATACGATGATTTTAATACTTTTTTGTTGTTTTGGATTCATTTATTTATTTTTCAAATATTTAGGATATTTGTAATCAAATTTTATTAATTTACTTTTGATGATTTGTTTTTAAAAAGTCATACTATCTGATGCAATAATGCCAGGTAAACATGAATTTTATTCTTGTTCTATAATTGGTTGGTTCATTTTATAAAAGATCCGTTGTTTGTGTTAACAATTCTTTTTTTTTTTTTATTTATATAGAATGTTGAATCTCATTTTCAAGAAGTGTTGTTTGAATTGGTGGTCAATATAACCATATTGCTAACATATGCGCATTTTTTTTTTAAAAAAAAAAAAAAAGAATTTTTTCATGAATTCATATATTTAACTCTAAATAATTAAGACGCACGAAGCAAAAACAAGGACATTTGAAAATCTCTGACATGTCCTTGAGAATAGTATTCAGCACCATGCGATCGATGACAGATTTCTCTATAATTTGCATCAGGGATTGGCGCAATAGATACATTGATAACCATTATTTGGTGACTATCTCATAAGTAGGTTTTTTTTTTAATCTATCTGATATACAAGAATTTACAAATTTAAAATACTAGTTACAATATTTGGATACATGAAGATTAATATTTTATTCAGCGACAGAATATTTTATCATTTATCATTAAGTATTGATTTATAATTATAATTTATAATTTTGATAAGTAGACGATAACCTGCAAACGTCAAAAGACTCAAGACGAATAGAGCCATGATGTTGTTTATCAATCATTTCAATCATTGGCAAGATTTACGTAGTTGTTAAAAGCTTCGATATTGAAGATGGATCTAATCCGCTCCTCCAACAGCGGATGTTCTCGAAATGATTAAAGGTGCACATCAACAGCGTCTCAAAAAGAAAAGTAGATGATTGGACAATGCAATTACTAAAATCGAGAATTCACAACGTTTCAAAGATAATGAAAAAAAATTAATTTATTATCGGTAAGGGCTGATTTTAATTATGAAAAAAACAACTGTTAAAGTATAATCTATATATATATATAAAAAAAAAAATTTTTAAGATTTATAATATAATAGAGTCATGTATTAATTCTGGATAAGCATATGTCAACGCATAATAATATATATAAATTTATAGGAAGTCCTTATTATTCACCATTTTAATTGAACAATTAATGACTGTATTTAGTATATATGTAGGTATATGTTCTGTTATTTATCCAAGGACTTTGAAGTGAAATAATAGTCTTTTACCCTAAAAATTTAAGATAGATTGAACGAGTGAATCAATGCAAAATCATTATATCCTCATTTATCTACCGAGGAATACTCGTAACTTTTGAATTGACAGCATGGATTCAGCTATGTGGATTTATTTTGAGATCAAAAAAATTTATACCTGAAAGTATGTTTCGTTCACCTATTGCTGAAAAAAAATAATCCGGAGCGAAGCGTACTTTTTACGAGTGCTGTTAAAAATTGATGGTCACGTGGTAATTCCGTCACGATCTGATCGGATTGATAATCAAAACGATAATTCGTTCAAGTTATTAAGTCGTCACAACTCCAGACTTAGAATGGTTCCATTACCTTTGATATACCATTAAGGTATTCATTTCACGACAATAGATTTCTTTTTTTTTTTTTAACAAAATCATTTCGAATAATTTTAAAGTACTCTAAAAATATGCAATCTTTTGCGAAATGTAATAAAAGTGGTATAAGGAAAGGGTAGAGGTTTTCTAAGGCTCATCGCAGTAGTCATAATTGCATAGTTACCAAAAATAAACTTATAGGAATCCATTCCTTGAAAAGGAGATTGAGAATCGTATTAATTTTTCCAGACTATTTCATTGGTGGTTATGAAAATAGATTAAATTTTTTTTTCCTTTAAAAAAATAGCAAATTTAAATATAAAATAAAACCTGTTTATTAAATAACTATATAAGGAAAATTCATTTAATTGATGATTGACGTGCATAATTCAATTTACTAATGAATAAAAAATATTTCGAACAAAGACTTGTCGCCTATAAAATGTGCAATTAATTATACTTATAATAAAAAAAAAAAAAAAAAAATTAAATAAAACATTGTTTTAGTCAAACATGAAATATATTTATAAAATATGTATAATATAGTTTATATTTAATAAAATTTATTCTTAATTTTATTTGTAAATTATACAAGTATTACTCTTAAATACTTAAATAATTCCTTTAAAATAATAATAATTATCCAATAATTTTACTAAACTTTAATAATTTATTGTTAGATATAACAGTTTAGGATAACTTAAATGTTTTCTATTATAATCATATAATCATTTAAAAAATAATTTTAGTTCTATTAGTATTTAAAGATAATAAAAAAAAAAATTATAAAAATATTTAAACAAGATAAAAAAAAAAAAATGTAAAAATAATTTTATTATAATAATAATAAAGTTAATATGAAAACTTTTCATTTTTTCCTATCATTTTAATTATTTTAATTAATAACTAAAAAAAAAATCTATTAAAAATTAAAATTGCAGTATATATATAATTATTTTTAACACTTATTAAAATAAATTATTATTATATATTTTTATTATAATATTATCAAAAAACAGATTATCAAATATAATTTTTTTGAATTAAAATGCAAAATTATTAACTGAGTTAAAATAATAAAAAATGAATTTGTATATTATTATATTAAAAAAATGTAATTTATTTTATAAATATTAAATAAATATAAAATTTAACTAAACTAACAAATTTACTCAAATTATAAAAGACAATTTTCTTGAACCAAAATACTAAATTTATCAAATACAGTCAACTCTTGATATAGCGAACTCTTGATATAACGAATTTTTTGAACAAATATAATAAAAATACTCT